TTTGGATTGAAAAACTGTAAGTGTCACCCTGTTACTTATGAAGAATGAGAGCCAGAACCCACGTTAACTACAGCCCTCAGAAATAGTAAGAACTGCTGATGCTGGAGTCAGTGATAACACAGTGTGGAGCTGGAGGAACACAGCAGGTCAGGCAGCATCACAGGAGCAGGAAAGCTGACGTTTTGGATCGTGACCCTTGATTTTCCGACCCAAAACGTCACCTTAACTACAGTCCTATCAGTTTAACGTCAGCTGTGGAGAAAGTATGGGAATCTCTCATCAGAAACCAAATGACATTCAGTTGGAAGTGAGTAAGGATAGGTTTGTGAATGGTAGCTCATGAAGACAAATTTAATTGAATTACTTGAGGTCAGCAGCATGCTGGACTGGGAAATGTCTATGGACTTTGCCCATATGGATTTTCAGGTAGCATTTGATCAGGTGCCACACAGATGATCAACATAAATAAAGGTCACAATGAATTGGAGGCAACCTTGTGCCATGAATAAAGTTTTTGTTCTCTGAAAAGCAGCATGTGATCGATGTGGGAGGGGATCGGGGTCAGCCAGGAAAGTGGATATCAAATCACAGTCGAAGAAGCCATGACCTTATCAAAGGCAGATTAGGCGTGAAGGAATAAACATTCTATTCCTGCTTCAAAGTCCTACATGATTAGTAGTGATACTCAAGATTAAAAGCCGAAAAGGACTGTGGATACAGAAACAAAAACAGAAATTGTTGGAAAAGCTCAGCAGGTCTGGTACATCTGTGGTGAGAAAGCAGAATTAATGTTTCAGTTTGAGTGACACTTCCTCAGAACTGGGTCACTCGACCCAAAACGTTAATTCTGCTTTCTCTCCACAGTTTCTGCCAGACCTGCTGAGCTTTTCCAGCAATTTCTGTTTTTATTACTCAGGATTATACTTGGGACTACTCTTATCACCAAAAATATTTCTTCCTTCAGGCTATTGATATACGCTTGTACATCAGATGACACTAGGAGGCACAGTAAATTTTGTGGATTGAAGCAGCAAATTACAATGGACATATATTAAGTGACCGGGCAAAACTATAACAGATGACTTCAATGTGGAAAAGAATGAAGTTATCCATTTTAGGTCCACGTCATACAAATTAGAATATATTCCTAAAAGAGACTTGGTTCTATGCTTCAAAGGGATTTAAATGGCCTTATAGATATCACTAACAGCTAACTCAGATTTTTAAAAAAATATGAAAAAATTGTTAATGGAATGTTCAATGATCTTCATTGGAAAGGTGAGTACTAGATGCTCCTGTTTTTCATTCCTGGCCAGACCTTAACTGGAATTAAACACGAAAGAAAAACCAAAAAACTGCAGATGCTGGAAATCTGAAACAAAAATCAGAAATTGCTGGAGAAAGTTAGCGGGACTGGTAGCATCAGTCGAAAAAAATGAGTTAATATTTTGCATTCAGTTAACTGTTTCTCTCCGCAGATGCTGCCAGACCAGCTGAGCTTCTCCAGCAACTTCTGTTTTTGTTCCACAACTGGAGTATTGTGTTAGCATTTTGTCTTTGAAAGGACAAGGATTCACCACAATGTTGCCAATGCTTAAATTATGAAGACATTTTTGCTTGTATTTACTTGAATGTGGAAGGCTGAGGGGTTATTCGATTGAGGAATTTAAAAAGATGAAGGAATTTAAGATATAAATGAACCATTTCCTCTGATGAGAAGAATCAAAACAAGGACACAATTTTAAAATTACAAGTTAGGTCATTCAGGAATGAAATCTGGAAGAATTATTTCACAAAATGAATAGTGGAAATCTTCCCAACATCAAGTCGATGATGAAGTTTCAATACTGCGATTAATAGATTTTTTTTTGTTGTATGATTGACAAGGATTTTAATTGGCAGATGTATGGGAACCAGGATAATACGAAGGTGCACAGAATACCAAAGAGATGGACAGCTCTGGAATAGAGAATCAAAATAAGGGAGAAAATAATAAAGTTTGAATCAAGGCTGTACTGCGCTTATTTGAGAATTCACAGAGTGTAGGAAATAAAATTGGTGAATTACAGCAGCACATTACCATATGGGAATGTGGTAATATACCATACCATAACAGAGACTTGGCTCAAAGAAGAGTTAGACTGTGTGTCGTATGTTTCTGGATACAAAGTGTTCAGGAAAGATAGGAAAAGTGAAGGGGAGGGGTGGCAGTATTGAGAAATGAGAGCAGAAGAAACAGGATGTCCAAAACTGATCATGGACAAATGTTATTTGACTTGAGCTAAAGGACAAATAGATACAATTTCATTGCTCAGTGTATCTGTACACCACCAACCAGTGGAGACAATATAGGAAAGTAGGGATACAAGAAAATTACAGACAGGTACAAAATTCTGGAGTAGTATTAATGACTAACAAATTATCCTGATGTTGCCTGGGATAGTAGTAGGGTAAAGGGCAAAGGCTTTAACCAGAGTTCCTACAGTATGATCAGGAACATTTTCTACAGTGTTATTTCCAGTCCAACAAGAAAGAAGACATTGCTAGACCTAGATATGGGGAATGTGGTGGGGTAAATTGATCAATAGTTAAATGGAGTAGCATTTAAGAGACATTATATCATAAGGTTTACATCAGCTATGGAAGAGCACAATGAACAATCCAGAGTAAAGATAATTAATTGGGGAAACAACTACAGTGGCGTAGGATCAGAAGTTCACCTAATTAATTCGGATCAAAGGTTAGCAGAAACAATGGTAGCTGAATACTGGGCAACCTCCAAGAAACAGTTCTGGCTTGGAAGACAAAGGTAAGGTAAATAAATTCAAAGTTTCCTGGATGACAAAAGAAATAGAAATGAATGGAAGGAAGAAAAAAGTGCACTTTAAGGTAGAAAATACAATTGAAAACTAGACTGAATTTAGAAGGCTCAGAGTGGAACTGAAAAAGAAAATGAGAGAAACAAAGTAGAAATATGAAAACAGACTTCCAGTTAACACAAAAACGAATCCCAAGGTTTTCTACAGGCATATAAAAGGATGGTAAAATGAGGAGTAGGGCTGATAAGGGTTGAAAATGGATATTAAGCATAGGAGCAGAAGGCGTAGCTCAGGTAACAGAGTTGACAAGGGTAATGTTGTTGATGTGGTGTACATGGACTTCCAAGATACATTTGATACAATGTTGTGAAACAGAGTCACAGGAAACAGTGATGTTCATTAGGCTGGAGGAAGGTTGGTAGTGGAGTTTCCCATGATGGGATCATTGTTTTTCCTGGAATATATTAAAGAAGGGCACAATTTCAAAATTTGAGACAAATGAAACTTAGAAGCATTGTGAACTGTGTGGAGACAGCATAGACCTTCTAAAAGTTACAATCAAGTTGGTGGACAGTCATACAGGTAGCAGTTAAAGTTCAATATGGAGAAATATTAAGTGATTCAAACTGGTAGGAAGAACATGGAGAAACAATACAAGGGACTCGACGCCTAAAAGTGGTGCAGGGGCAGATGAAGCTGATTGTTATCTGTGAAAATCACTGAAGGTAGCAGGACAGATTGAGAGGTAGTTAATAAAGAGTACAGAATCTTAGGCTTTTTTTTAGTAGAGGTAGAGTATAAGAGCATGGAGATAATGTTGAACTCATATAAGACACTGGTTTGGCCTCAGAGTATTGGGTCTAGTCTGGACACTGCAACTTAGGAAAGATTCGAAGGTATTGGAGAGCATGCAGAAAAGATTCACTCCAGGGAAAAAGATCTTCAGTTATGGGATTATACTGGAGAAGTCAGAGCTGTTTTCCTTGCAGAAGAGAAACTGTTCCCACTTGTGAAAGGATTCTGAAAGGAGAAAGAGTATAGATTTCAAATACAAGCAATAGAGAAAACTTCTTCAGGCAGTGAGTTGTTAAGATCTAGAGTGCACTGGTCGAGAATGTGGTGGAGGCAGGTTCAATTGAGGCATTTAGAAAAGGATGAGATTGTTATTTGAGGAGCAACAATAAAAAAAGTTAGGAGAAAAAGCAGAAGTATGGCACTAAGTAAAATGCTAATTTGGAGACGCTGTGCAGACATGACGGACCAAATAGCCTCCTTCTGCATTATAGTAATAGTATTATGCAATATGGAACAAAGCCAGGTAAGATTTAAATAAATAAAAATGAGGCCCAATGTCCTACTTCTGTTCTAATGAGTTCTTAGAGATCTGAATGAAGAGAATTTCCGTAGTTCAATCCAGGCAAATTTTTGGTTCAAACACCAGGTCACAAGTTAAAGGGGATTGTTCTTCTGGCCAAAGACAGGTTGGACAATTAAATCCAAACATGCCAGTCAGTTATCAGCTTCAGTCTTTACTGCGTGTCTGTGCAAGGAACTAGGACTAAAGTATGGTGAACAAACATAGACAAAACTCTACATGCTCAATTTTCATTGATATTCTAGGGACAGAACTGATAGCCCTTGGAACCCAAGATGTTTCACAGCAACTTTGAGAAACAGTTTTGCAACATAAGCATGGTACCTAGTGCAGGGATGGTACAGGAGGGAAGATACTTGGGTAGGAAGGAACTGCACACTCAACTCTTTGATGTAGAAAAGTAAAGAGAAAATCTTACAAATGTGATTTTCATTATTTAAAATACTTGATCATCAACCACCTACGCAAAAAGCTAAGGCCCTTGATCTGAATCGAACATCTCCCTTTAAGACAAAGAAGAGTATCAGGAGCAAGTATGTTAGAATTCAGCAGTTTAGTGAACATCACTGGGATATACTTGGAAGTTTGTTGTATATTTCCTTACAGAAATCTGACCACGTTAAAGGGTCACTGTCTTTGTGAAGAGAGTTCTGCAAAAATTTTAACAACTACCTCCATAACAAGTCATTTCTCAACATGATTCACATCATAGTATCAGAAACGTGTAAACAAAAGAGTGCCAAATACTTTTACATGTGTTCCTTTAATTTTAGAATTGAAGTATATCATTCACAATGAGTAAATTCTATTTTCTAAGATTTTAATTGTTTAATATGAATTTACAGTTAAAAACGCATGAATACAAATAATTATCACTTTAAATTTTAGCAACTGTAACCATAAAAATAAAAAAATTTAATTTTACAATTTCATAAACTTTTTTAGGGAGATCCATTTGAAAGTGTGTATTGTATTTACGAGTTATCTCCCCTTTCCTAAACTTCATGTAATCATCAGCAGCATTTTTTTTATATTAAGTGTAAAATCACATCTGACTGAAAGAGAAAAGACCACTAAAGAAGTTAATCTATACAGAACACACAGTTACTTTAATTAAAAAAAACTTATTTGCAGCATTGATTGTTCCTCAGGTCATGCTTGCCTATGATCAACTTCATCTCAGAGCTGTGAAGTTGAATGAAAACTCTGATATTTCAAAACATTCCACTTCATCACAAATATTTAACACTAACATTCCATAACAGAATCTCATTCCAGACTGATCTCGTAACATTGCCATTTTATAATGCCAGCTATAGATATCCTATACCTCTTTAGTTCGAACAGTAGTACTTAATCCGATCGCCCAGTGGCTATTTGTGCCATGACTTTGTCCTCACCTATTATCCTGAGTAGAAATTATGCATGTACCCCCAAGGCTCCATTCACAACCTTCCCAGATGTGGGTTATGGACCATGCTGGGATTTGGTTCTACTCTCCCATTTCTACTTTTTAAAAAGGTGGCTTGGGAATTCAGTTAAGAGGCAGGTCTATCCCATGTTCTATACAAGCAGACGTCTTATTAAAATTAAGACCACTGGCCCAATGATTTATTTTTCTTCCTGTGGAAAAGTCGCTGCCCTCTATCAAGTTCCCATAGTGGCATGATTGAAATCAGGGTCCCTCTGCATGGGAGAAAATTTACACATTTGCATCTCTTGATATATTTTCAAGTGACCCTGAAGCAAGACAGTGTTTAAGATTGTGACCTTAAACAAAAAGTTAGTAATACCTCTAGTCTGAAAAATTTATGGAGCTCGAGCGACCAAACTTAATGCCTTTACAAATTTCACTTTCTCCATGGGTTCAGGTATAATTCTTAGTTACTTCTTATGTAGCTTTATTCAATCTTCATCGATATGTTCTTCTGTATTATCAGCAATAGGAACAACACATCAGATCAATGTTCTAGTCAGATTTTTTTAAAATAAATTGTTTCCTATGGTGGATGTCTGTTTAAAAAGTTCAATAAATAGTAGAAAAATAATCCTTTATTTAAAAAATCTGAGATGTGCTGTTAACTTTTACAATTCCCATTGAGTTGCTTTGATGGTTTTTGACATTCCTTAGAAATCCAGGAAAAGTTTTCACCATCTGACTCGAAGACTAATGATTTAAAAAGAGTGCTTGTAATTTTGCAGCTGTAGTTTCCAGTAAAAGGGGAGCAAAAGTGGTTCAGCATTCTGCATCTACAGTGTGGACTGTAACTGCTGCTTGTAGGTGGTGGCTGTGATGGAGAGACGGATGGTGGTGTAGGCGGTAATGGTGAAATTTATGACTTAGCAAAGCAGCAGTCTGTGGTGGAGTGTCCAATTCTAAATCTTCTTCATGGTTCCCAACATCCACCCCAGCAGTTAAAGGATCATTATTGCATGGTGGATTCTCACTGTCCTCCTGAGGGCTCATGGTACTATATCCTGCCAATGAGTGCAAATTTGCAAAATTACTTCTTTTGAAACATCTTGTTCATTTGCATATATTTCAATTTACTAAAACAGCAATTACATTGTTTTATTTTAATAACTAACAAACTTTCTTTTTATTAAAAAAACAGCTTATCTGTAAATCATCTCTAATCTCTTCCTCACTCCACAAACATCACAATGAGTGGTAAATCCTTCAATGAAAGTGGTAGGGTTCAGAAATAATAGCCTGCACAACCAAATGTTGCAACAAGAGAACTGGCACAATTGCAGGAACAGCAACTCATAATCCACTTGGGAACCCTGCAGCCCAATGGTATCTCTGTGGATTTCACATGCTTCAAAATCTCCCCTCCCCCTACCGCATCCCAAAACCAGACCAGCTCGTCCCCGCCTCCTTAACCTGTTCTTCCTCCCACCTATCCCCTCCTCCCACCTCAAGCCGCACCCCCATCTCCTACCTACTAACCTCATCCCGCCCCCTTGACCTGTCCGTCCTCCCTGGACTGACCTATCTCCTCCCTACCTCCCCACTTACACTCACCTTTACTGGTTCCATCCCCGCCTCTTTGACCTGTCTGTTTCCTCTCCACCTATCTTCTCCTCGATCCATCTTCTATCTGCCTCCCCCGCTCTCCCTATTTATTTCAGAACCCCCTTCCCCTCCCCCATTTCTGATGAAGGGTCTAGGCCCGAAACGTCAGCCTTTCTGCTCCTCTGATGCTGCTTGGTCTGCTGTGTTCATCCAGCTCTGCACCTTGTTATCTCAGATTCTCCAGCATCTGCAGTTCCTACTATCTCTGGCACAATACATTGTCCACTTGCCTATATAATGAATATCAACATGCTTATTGATCGCTGAAGTCATTAAAGCTCAAGTACACTTTCCAGCAGGGATCACAGGAAAGGAAAGCCATTTGTAGTGCATTTTAACAGATTTAAGAGAACTGGGCACAGATCGGGGTATACTCCGTCTTTATGGCTCAATACCATGTTGGGCACTGCATTCACTAATCGAGTCAAATTCCTACCAATTCACCTCCACCTTGAGAAACACAATCTTTGCAGAACTGACCCAAAAGCTGGTTGTGTCCAACACTACATTTACCAAATGCGTGCCTGCCAACGCTACTTTCCAAAATGGTCATATGCATACCTGCTGTTAACTTGAGGACAGCTGTGGTGAGGACCTGCAACCTTGTAAACTCTAAGGCTGTTTCAATTTTAAAATAAACTGACTAGAGCTGACAGACCACTACCCCGATGGAACTCCCTCCATACAGGATGACCCACTAAACTCCCTGTTGCTCTGGCTGAGCACCTCCATACAAGGGCTACAAAGTCGAAGCGAATCATAGGGAACATTACATCTCAATGTATTCTTTGCTCACTTTGAAGGTCAGTAAACAATGTCATCTGTCCCAACAGCCTCAAACACACCTGTACCCTTGGTCACTGTCACAGACCATGAGAATGATCCCACAGAAATTGACTGGCCTGGACGGACCAGCTGACTGAAGTATTCGCAGACATCTTTAACCTCGCCTTACTATGATCTCATGTCCCCAATTGATTCAAGAAGACCACCATCATCATGGTGCCAAAGAAAAATCATGCAGCATGTCTCAATGACTACCACTCAGTGGCTCTGACCTCCATCATTATGAAGTGCTTTGAGAGGTGAGTCATGGCTCACATCATCTCCAGCCAACCAAACTGCACTGGTCCTTTGCAATTCGCCAACTGGTGCAACAGGTCCATGGCAGATGCCATCTCCCGGCCCTAAACTCATCCCTGGAACATCTGGATAACTAGGACATCTACCTCTGGTTCCTACTAATTGTGACTACAGCTCTGCCTTCAACCCCATAATTCCAAACAAACTCATCTCTAAACTCCGAGACCTAGGTCTTGACTTCCCCCGCCTCTGCAACTGGATCCTCGACTTCCGGCCCTTAAATTGCAATCAGTAAGAATAGGTGACAACACCTACTCCACCATAATCCTCAACACCAGTGCCCCGCAAGGCTGCATACTCAGCCCCCTACTATACTCCTTATACACTCCTGACCGTGTGGCCAAATACCACCCCAGCTCCAATTTCAAGTTGGCTGACGACACCACTGTTGCAGGTTAGGTCTCAAATAACGAGAGAGATTACAGGAAGGAGTTTGACTGTTTAGTGGCATGGTGTCAAGACAACAATCTCTCCATCAACCTCAGCTAAACGAAGATGTGTCATTGACTTCAGGAAGCAGAGAGAGGACATGCCCCTGTCTGCATCAAGGGTGTCAAAGTGGAGATGATCAACAGTGTCAAGTTCCGAGGAATGATGATCACCAACAATCTGTCCTGGTCTACCCAGGTCGACACAATGGTCAAGAAAGCACAACTTTGCCTCAACTTCCTCAGGACGCATAAGGCAATTCGGCATATCCACAAGGACTCTTACCAATTTTCATAGATGCACCATACCAGTTTGTACCAGAGTGTCGTATGGCAATTGCTCTTCCCAAGACCCCAAGAAACTACAGAGAGTTGTGAACACAGCCCAGTCCATCAAGCAAACCAGCCTGCCATCCATTGGCTCCATCTATAGTTTCTGCTGCCTTAGGAAAGCAACCAACATAATCAAAGACCTCTCCCACCCTGGTTATACTCTCTTCCACACTCTTCTACTGGGTAGAAGGCAAAAAGGTCTGACTATATGTACGACAAAGTTCAAGAGCTGTTTCTTCCCTGCTGTTATCAGACTTTTGAATGGACCTCTCCAATGTTAATCCCTCTGTCTACACCTTCTGAGACTATTACACTGTATTCTGCACTCTGTTCTGCCTCCTGATGCACTTTGTATGGTATGATCGGCCTGTATAGCATGTTCAAAAACACTTTTCACTATCTCAGTACGTGACAACAATAAATCAAACTCAAACTCCCCACAACCCACCCCTGTCAGCAATATCCCAAACTGCCCACACACTTGCTAGAATTTGGCCTCAATGAGGGGCCCATGTGATGCCAAGAAGTTCCCTGCAGCGTCCCCTACTTGCCCATAAATGGCTCCCTGTTAATGCAAAGTGGCTACTCACCACTGCCAGCTGGACAGCAATTGCTCCTAGACAATTTATACATCATCAGCCAGAAGCAGGAATTTGTCGGTCCACCAACCGATTGCTTGGTGTCATCAAAGCCATCTCAGCAGGACTGGTAACATTCCACTCAGTGCCTTCTGACTTAATTTAGTCACCTTCATTGCCATATTAAACTGCATAGTCAGCAGATAGCTTGCAAACTGTGCAATGTTGCTGGCTGAGAAGGTCTTATCTTTTAAATACATCAACCCATTTGCAGTCCTATTAAGATATGGGTTGCTTTAGCAAAGCCAGTCATAGAGCCCACAGAATACCTACAGTGTAGAAACAGGCCATCGACACTGACCTTCTAAAGAGCACCCCACCCAGACCCACCCTATCCCAATAACCCTGCATTTCCCATGGCTGATGCACATCCCCGGGCAATTTAGCATGGTCAAACCACCTAAACTGCACATTTTTGGACTATGGGAGGAAACCAGAGCACCGAGCGGAAACCCATGCAGACATGGGGGTAAACATGCAAACTCTACACAGACAGTTGCACGAGGGTGGAATCGAACCCAGGTCCCTGGTGCTGTGAGGCAGCAGTGCTAACCACTGAGCCACCATGCTGCTAGGCCAATTCTCACTTGCGTTCTGCCCACAAAAAACCCTGAGCTTCCAGTTGCCTACCACTTTAACACACCACTCTGTTCCTTGGCCAACATCTGTCTCTGGCTTCCTGCAGTGTTCCAGTGAAGCTCAATGCAAGCTGGAAGAACAACACGTCATTTTCCACTTGGGGACCCTGCAGCACTCTGGACTCAATATCAAGTTCAATAATTTCAGGGCCTGAACTCTCTCATGTCCTAGCCTCCTACCTCATACACCAAGCCTTGTTATCAACATTTTCTGAAAAAGGGTCTAGACCCAAAACGTCAGCTTTCCTGCTCCTATGATGCTGCTTGGCCTGCTGTGTTCATCCAGCTCTACACCTTGTTATCTCAGATTTTCCAGCATCTGCAGTTCCAACTATCTCTGAAGCCTTGTTATCACATAGCCTGCCATTATACACTACCTATCGTTAACCACGAACAGTCTCCATTAATAGCTATTCACCCTAGCCAGATGATTATCAAGTCTTTTGTCTGTCCATCTGTTCTTCTCACACTTTGGGCTCTATCCCCACCTATTGTTTACTCCTTAACCCCTCCCACCACCCTATCATCTGCATATAAACCAACATTTTCCTAGCTACCATCAGTTCTGAGGAAGGGTCACCGCACCAAAACATTAACTCTGATTTTTTTTTCTTCATGGATGCTGCCAGACTTGCTGAGTTTTTCCAGCAACTTCTGTTTTTGTTTCTGATTTGCAGCATCCATAGTTCTTTTGGTTTTTATCTCATATAATGAGTTGCATTTTGCAGCTTTCATTTTCTCACTCTTAGCTCTTAATTATCTCTTATCAGATTTTTTCTCTGTCTTGGCCTGCTATCCATTATCCCCTTGTTTACATTTCCCTTTCATCTGTCTATCTCTCTGGGCTCCGTCTCTACTTATCTGCTCACGTCTCTCTTTCCCACCCCTCCCCCACTTCAGCTTCAGCATAAATATGAGCTTCTCCTAGCTCCTAATAGTTCTGATGGAGAGTCACTGGAACTCAAAACGTTAACTCTGTTTACTTCCCACAGATGCTGTCAAACCTGAATTTCTCCAGCAATTTGTTTTTGTTTCGGACGGTTCACAATCTTGGCATCCTGTTTTGACGCCAAACTGAGGTTCGGAGCCAATTCTTCACAAGACCACAAATTTCTTACTTCTTGTATCACCAATCTTCACTCAATCCATTTGCCGCTCTATCTTTAATCACCCCTTTATTACACGTAGACTTATGAATTTTATATTTGTTTAGTGCTTCTCACCTACACTCTCCATAAACTTAAGGTCCTCTGAAGCTCAGTTGACCAGGTCTGAACTCAAACCAAATCCCAGTCATTTATCACCACTGTGTTTGCCGACCCACCCTGACTTCCAATTCTCATGCATCTCAATTTCAAAAGTTTTTATGTTAAATTTACACCCTTCTATGGCCATATCCCTACATTCCAGCCCTGTACTTTTCCAATAATTTTGCATTTCTCCAAATAGCCTTCAGTTTATTCTTCTTTCACTCATGGTGGTTGTGTCTGCAGCTGTCTACAACCCAAGATTTAGAATTCCTTCTTTAAATGTCTAGGTTACTTTACCTTTGCCTTCCTCCTTAAAACCTTCTGCTTTGACAAAGCTTTTGGTCACCTTTGGCTTGGTCAGCTTTTGTCCACTTTCGTGGCCACACAACTATTGTAAAAACCTTTAATAAGAAGCACAAGTTGTAGTTGACACACTTAGCTCTCCTGGTGACTCAGTATGTAGTGTGTTTACATCTGATACCGACCAGGGGGCCTACTACTGTACTGAAGTCATAAGTCTTTCAGGCAGGAAAATGTGAGTCCTGAAGTTGAATAATTATAGCTGTCAAATGCATAAAAACTAACACCAGCAGAACATGGGCTCAAATTCACCAAAATAATTGTAAACTGCTCATTAAATAAACTGCTTAAATTGTGCATTGCCTACTTAAATCATCAAAACAATGATCAAATCTCTCTTCTCTAACTCAAACAACATCTCAAAACATTTGTACATTTTAAGCATAGGTTTCTTAAACATTCATTAAAAAACGACCAAAGAAAACTAAAAACTGTCAAACTCATGCTGTTACAACAGTTCCTATTCAAGGGGACTCTGGACAGTGTTGCTGCATTATATAAACATAAGTGTCCACAAAGTATTTTTAGCAAAGTAATACCAAAAAAAAGTGGTGAGGTGTTAAAATAAAGAAACAGCAGTACAAGAGATGTTTATCTCTCATGGATTTTTCTGGAGGTTTTTTCATGTGTTTGAAGATAATTTATTTCCAGTTTTGACTGGAGTTCAACATCAATCATAGCCCACACAGATGGACCTGTTCCTTTCAGACAGAAGCAGGATCATTTTTAACTCCTGAAACATTCAACACCATCAAGAAATGAATGAGCTTTTATTTCTTCTGTCAAGCGAAATGCAAGGTCATTGATCTTACCGTGATCACTCTCTGTTCCTGATCTTCCCCAGTAGCGGCGCCTGCGTTCTGGACTATGTGCATGTCGTTCTATCACAGCCGCTATAAATCTTGTGTTACTGACTATTCAAAATAAATAAAAATTATGAAGTGCAGACAATTACTTTCTCTCTTCAACATGCATTCCTAAATAAGAAAAGTTTAAATTCCAAACTTCTATGTTGTTTGGAGTTGTGGAGGTAAGGGGTGTTGGGGTCTGATGGGGAAGGGAAGCAAGAAAAAGTTCAAATGAAGTGGCAAATTTGACTGGAGGAGGAACAAAACCAGAAATTGTTAGGAAAGCTCAGCAGGTCTGGCAGCATAGAACATAGAACATAACAGCACAGTACAGGCCCTTCGGCCCTTGATGTTGCGCTGACCTGTGAAACCAATCTGAAGCCCATCTAACCTAAACTATTCCATTATCATCCATATGTTTATCCAATGACCATTTAAATGCCCTTAAAGTTGGCGAGTCAACTATTTTTGCAGGCAGGGCATTCCATGCCCTTACTACTCTCTGAGTAAAGAACCTACCTCTGACATCTGTCCTATATCTATCACCCCTCAATTTAAAGCTATGTCCCCTCGTGCTAGCCATCACCATCCGAGGAAAAAGGCTCCCACTGTCCACCCTATCTAATCCTCTGATGATCTTGTATGTCTCTATCAAGTCACCTCTTAACCTTCTTCTCTCTAACAAAAACAGCCTCAAAACCCTCAGCCTTTCCTCATAAGACCTTCCCTCCATACCAGGCAACATCCTGGTAAATCTCCTCTGCACCCTTTCCAATGCTTCCACATCCTTCCTATAATGCGGTGACCAGAACTGTACGCAATACTCCAAGTGCGGCCGCACCAGAGTTTTGTACAGCTGCAACATGACCTCATGGCTCCGAAACTCAATCCCTCTACCAATAAAACCTAACATACTGTACGCCTTCTTAACAATGCTATCAACCTGGGTGGCAACTTTCAGTGATCTATGCACATGGACACCGAGATCTTTCTGCTCATCCACACTACCAAGAATCTTACCATTAGCCCAGTACTCTGTATTCCTGTTACTCCTTCCAAAGTGAATCACCTCACACTTTTCCGCATTAAACTCCATTTGCCACCTCTCAGCCCAGCTCTGCAGCTTATCTATGTCCCTCTGTAACCTGCAACATCCTTCTGCACTATCCACAACTCCACCAACTTTGGTGTCATCCGCAAATTTACTAACCCATCTTTCTACGCCCTCATCCAGGTCATTTATAAAAATGACAAACAGCAGTGGCCCCAAAACAGATCCTTGCGGTACACCACTAGTAACTGAACTCCAGGATGAACATTTCCCATCAACCACCACCCTCTGTCTTCTTACAGCGAGCCAATTTCTGATCCAAACCGCTAAATCACCCCCAATCCCATGCCTCCATATTTTCTGCAATAGCCTACCATGGGGAACCTTATCAAACGCTTTACTGAAATCCATATACACCACATCAACCGCTTTACCCTCATCCACCTGTTTGGTCACCTTCTCGAAGAACTCAATAAGGTTTGTGAGGCACGACCTACCCTTCACAAAACCGTGTTGACTATCCCTAATCAAATTATTCCTTTCTAGATGTTATAAATCCTATCTCTTATAATCCTTTCCAACACTTTACCCACAACCGAAGTAAGGCTCACTGGTCTATAATTACCAGGGTTGTCTCTACTCCCCTTCTTGAACAAGGGGACAACATTTGCTAGTCTCCAGTCCTCTGGCACTATTCCTGAAGACAATGACGACATAAAGATCAAAGCCAAAGGCTCTGCAATCTCCTCTCTAGCTTCCCAGAGAATCCTAGGATAAATCCCATCCGGCCCAGGGGACTTAACTATTTTCACACCTTCCAGAATTGCTAACACCTCCTCCTTATGAACGTCAATCCCGTCTAGTCTAATAGCCTGTATCTCAGTATTCTCCTCGACAACATTGTCTTTTTCCTGTGTGAATACTAACGAAAAATATTCATTTAGCACCTCTGCTATCTCTTCGGACTCCACGCACAACTTCCCACTACTGTCCTTGACCGGCCCTAATCTTACTCTGGTCATTCTTTTATTCCTGACATACCTATAGAAAGCTTTAGGGTGTTCCTTGATCCTACCTGCTAAAGACTTCTCATGTCCCCTCCTGGCTCTTCTTAGCTCTCTCTTTAGGTCCTTCCTGGCTAACTTGTAACTCTCAAGCGCCCTAACTGAGCCTTCACGCCTCATCTCTACATAAGCCTCCTTCTTCCTCTTGACAAGAGATTCAACTTCTTTAGTAAACCACGGTTCCCTCGCTCGACCACTTCCTCCCTGCCTGACAGGTACATACTTCTCAAGGACACGCAGTAGCTGTTCCTTGAACAAGCTCCACATTTCAATTGTGCCCAGCCCCTGCAGTTTCCTTCTCCATCCTATGCATCCTAAATCTTGCCTCATCACCTCATAATTGCCTTTCCCCCAGCTATAACTCTTGCCCTGCGGTATATACCGATCCCTTTCCATTGCTAAAGTAAACGTAACCGAATTATGGATCTGTGGATAGAAATCAGAAGTAATGTTTCAGAACCGTTCTGTGGAAGGGTCACTGGACCTGAAACGTTAACTCTGATTTCTCTCCACTGATGCTGCCAAACCTGATGAGCTTTTCCAGCAATTTTTGGTTTTGTTTCTGACTTCCAGCATCCGCGGTTCTTTTGGTTTGTATTTAGTATTTGACTGGAGGTGGTGGTGGTCAGACATTCATTCACCAGATTCTGAAGCAGTAGATACTTCCACTCAGTGTAGTTCCAGCCCCTCAGCAGCCAGTGCCCCTGAGGGCACAGGACAGTGACACACAATGTGTGAAGCATTCAACAACCAGAACTGTGGCAACACACAGCCTTAACTCTAATAAAAGGGGAGGAATAGTACTGTACATTCAGACTAAACTTTACTCATTTTCTTTGCAGCTTTCCTCCATTTAACCTCAGCACTTGTTTCTCAAATTTCATTTTCTATATTTCACTCTTTTTCTTATGTGCACAGTTATTCAACATTGCAGTTTGTCATAGTCATAGAGATGTACAACACTGAAACAGACCCCATGGTCCAACTCGTCCATGCTGACCAGATATCTTAAATAAATCTCGTCCCATTTGCCAGCATTTGGCCCACATCCCTCTAAGACCCTTCCTATTCATATACCCATTCAGATGCCTTTTAAACATTGCAATTGTACCAGCCTCCACCCTTTCCTCTGACATTCCACACACGTCACACGCACCACCCTCTCTGTGAAAAAGTTGCCGCTTAGGTCCCTTTTAAATCTTTCCCCTCTCCCCTGAAACCTATGCCCTCTAGTTTTGGATTCCCCTACCCCAGGGAAAAAACCTTGTCTATTTACCTTATCCATGCCCTTCATGATCTCTGTGAGGTCACCCCTCAGCCTCAGATACTCCAGGGAAAATAGCCCCACCCTATTCATCCTCTCTCCCTACAGCTCAAGCCCTCCAACCCTGGCAACATCCTTGTCAATCTTTTCTTAACCCTTTCAAGTTTCACAACATCTTTCCTATAGCAGGAAAACCAGAATTGCATGCAGTATTCTAATAGTGGCCTCACCAACGTCCTGTACAGCTGCAACATGACCTGCCATCTCCTATACTCAATGCATTTACAAATAAAGACACATGTACCAAACACTGCTCTCACTACTCTGTCTGTCACTCTATTTTCAAGGAGCTATCAACCTGTATCCCAAGGTCTCTTTGTTCTGCAAAACTCCCCAGGACCTTATCATTACGTGTATAAGTCCTGCCCTGATTTGCCTTTCCAAAATGCAGCACCTCACATTTATCTAAACTCCATGGCCCATTGGCCCATCCGATTAAGATCCTGTTGTACTCTGATGTAACCTTCTTTGCTGTCCACTACACCTCCAATTTTGGTGTCATCTGCAAACTTACTCACCATACCTCATTAGTTCACATCCAAATCATTTATATAAATGACAAAAGACAGTGGGCCCAGCACCGATCTTGTGGCACACCGCTGGTCACAGACCTCCAGTCTGAAAGCAACCCTCCACCATCATCCTCTGTCTTCCTCCTTTGAGCCAGTTCTGCATCCAAATGGCTAGTTCTCTCTGTATTTCACGTGATCTAAACTTGCTAACCAGTCTGCCATAAGGAACCTTGTCGAACGCCTTACTGAGGTCCATATAGATCACATCCACTGCTCTACCCTCGTCAATTCTCTTTGTTACTTCTTCAAAAAACTCAATTAAGTTAGTGAGACATGAGTTCCCATGCACAAAGCCATGTTGACTATCTCTAATCAGTCCTTGCCTTTCCAAATACATGTAAATCCTGTCCCTCAGGATTCCCTCCAACATGCCCACCATCGATATCAGGCTCACTGGTCTATAGTTCCCAGGGTTTTCCTTACAACCTTTCTTAAATAGTGGCACCATGTCAGTCAACCTTCAGTATTCCAGCACTTCGCCTGTGGCTACTGATGATACAATTATCTCGGCAAAGGGCCCAGGAATCACTTCTCTAGCTTCCCACAGTGTTCTAGGGTACACCTGATCAAGTCCCGGGGATTTATCCCACTTTACGTGTTTTATGATACCCAGCACCTCTTTGTCTATAATATGGACGTTTTTCAAGATGTCGCTATTTATTTCCTCACATTCAATATCTTCCACATCCTTCTCCACAATAAACACTGGATGTAACATACTCATTTAGTGTCTCCCCCATCTTCTGCAGTTCCCCACATCGGTGGCCTTGTTGATCTCTAACGGCCCTAGTCTCTCCTTAGTTAACTTTTTATCCTTGATGGATTTGTAGAATCCCTCTGGATTCTCCTTAACCCTACTTGCCAAAGCTATCTCATGTCCCCTTTGTGCTCACCTGATTTCCCTCACAAATATACTCCTACTGCCTTTATACTCTTCTCGGGATTCACTTGATTGCTGCTATCTATACTTGACACATGCTCCCTTCTTATTCTTGACCAACACCTCAATTTCTCTAGTCATCTAACATTCCCCACACCTACCAGCCTTGCCCTTC